GTGGGGGTGGGGAGGGGCGAAAAGAAAAGGCTGAGCTGAAAGCAGAACGCTGAGTGGCAAGCACAGAAAAGGCAGCATTTCCCAGAGGACCAGTGCTGGCAATGTCACTGAGCTAGAGACCAGACTATTCCTCCAAACCCCTAAAAGAGGGGTACCTGCAGCTAAGATTCCAGAGACCTGGCTGGGTGCTGTGGCTCACGCCTGTAATCTCAACACTTTGGGAGGCTGAGGCGGGCAGATCACTAGGTCAGGAGTTTGAGACCAGCCTGGCCAACGTGGTGAAACCCTGTCTCTACCAAAGATACCAAAAATTAGCTGGGCGTGGTTGCAGGCCCTGTAATCCCAGCTACTCAGGAGGCTGAGGCAGGAGAATCGCTTGAACCTGGGAAGTGGAGGTTGCAGTGAGCTGAGATAACGTCATTGCACTCCAGCCTGGGCAACAGGGCAAAAAGTTCCGGAGACTGCTGGTTAAACAAGGATCCTAGGAGCTAAAGCAGTAAATTGCGCCACCTGGCTTTCAACAGAGGCAAATGCAAATACTGCCTGGAGGAGAATATGCTCAGTTTAGGCCTGTAGGTATTCCCTAGATTAATTAATATCAACAAAATATTGGCTCACAATTGAAGGTGCACAGAGAAACGTAATCCATGAGTGAAGTCAGCAGACATAAAAATTACAGATTTAGGACACCCCCCAAAAGGAACTGAGATATTGGAATTATTAAATAATTGGAAGTCACTATGAATCAAATGCTTTTTAAAACAAGATGAAAAATTTAAAAAACCAAACAATAATAGAATACCAAAAAACAACCATGTAGCTGGGTGTGGTGGCTCACGCCAGTAATCCCGACTCTTTGGGAGGCTGAGGTGGGAGGATCACTTGAGCCCAGGAACTGGAGACCAGCCTGGGGAAATGTTGAAACCCCGTCTACAAAAAAAATGCAAAAAATTAGCTGGACGTGGTGGCATGCACCTGTAGTCCCAGCTACCTGGGAGGCTGAGGTGGGAGGATCACCTGAGCCTGGAAGGTCGAGGATGCAGTGAGCTGAGATTGAGCCACTGCACTCCAGCCTGGGAGACAGAGTGAGACCTTATCTCAAATATATATATATATAAAATATATATAACATATAAAAAATATATTATATATATTATATATATATAAAATAGAACATTTAACAGATGGCTGGGCATGGTGGCTGGAACCTGTAAACCCAGTGACTAGGGAGGCTGAGGCAGGAGGATAAGGCCTGGAGTTTGAGACTAGCCTGGGTGACAGTGAGACCTCCATCTCTAAAAAAAATTTTTTTTTTTTGAGACGGAGGTCTCACTCTGTCATCCAGGCTGGAGTGCAGTGGCAGGATCTCGGCTCACTGCAAGCTCCGCCTCCTAGGTTCACACCATTCTCCTGCCTCAGCCTCTGGAGTAGCTGGGACTACAGGTGTCCACCACCACACCTGGCTAATTTTTTATATTTTTAGTAGAGACGGGTTTTCACTGTGTTAGCCAGGATGGTCTTGATCTCCTGACCTCGTGTTGGCCTCCCATCGTGCTGAGATTATAGGTGTGAGCCACTGCACCCGGCCTAAAAAATTTTTTTGTTGTAATTAGTTGGGAGTGGTGTCATGTGCCTGTAATCCCAGCTACTCGGGAGGCTGAAGCAGGAGGATCGCCTGAGTGCAGGAGTTCGAGGATCCAGTGAACAATGATCATACTACTGCACTCCAGCCTGAGTGACAGAGTGAGACTGTCTCTTACAAAAAAAAAAATTCGGCCGGGCGAAGTGGCTCACACCTGTAATTCCAGCACTTTGGGTGGCTGAGGCAGGCGAATCACAAGGTCAGGAGATCAAGACCATTCTGGCTAACACGGTGAAGCCCTGTCTCTACTAAAAATACAAAAAATCAGCCGGGTGTGGTGGCGGGTGCCTGTAGTCCCAGCTACTCTGGAGGCTGAGGCAGGAGAATGGCGAGAACCCAGGAGGCGGAGCTTGCAGTGAGCTGAGATCACGCAACTGCACTCCAGCCTGGGTGACAGCAAGAATTCGTCTCAAAAAAAAAACAAAAACAAAAAACTCAACAGGTGAATTAAATGATTTGTCTGAAAACAGAACTAGTGAATAGCATGAGAGGACTAAAAGAAAAACAGAATGTGCAGTTCTAGGAGATGAGAAGGCTGAGAGTGAGAAGGTCTAACAGGTCTAATCAGATTCCCAGAATGAGAGGATAAAGAGAATAGAGAAAAGGCAATATTATGCAGATGGATAATCGTGAAGAATTTCTCAGAATTTATGCAGGAAACGAATCTACAGATAAAGCATCTAGCCCAGTGCCTACTATCTGGTGGATGTTTGGAGACTGTCTGTTCCTTCCCCACTTAGTGGTGGAGGGCTTCTCTCCACCTCCTTCCAGAATCCCTAGAATGTGCTTCTGTACCTTTTGATGGTTCAAACCTTCTAGATTGCTGTAGATGCCCTCATGGGGGGTGGGGTGGAGGGGCCAGCCCTCTCCTAGGCAACCCTGGCTGGGGTGAGGGGTATAGCTCTAGGTGAGGTCCCAGCTCTAAGTGCTAACCTGTGTGTGTATCAGAGTGAGCTCAGCGATGGCATCGCGATGCTAGTGGCAGGCAATGACCGTGTGCAAGCAGTCATCACGCAGATGGAGGAGGTGTGCCAGACCATTGAGGTGAGCCTGGGCTGGAGGGCAGGGGGAACAGCAACTGGCTGGCCTGCGGACCCCGGGCTCCCAAGAGAACTGCTCCTCTCTGACCTCTGGCCAAACTGGTCCAAAAGTTTCTGGGGTCCTGGGAGTGGTGGGAGGTGCTTTTGCCAGGCTGCTGGGTGCTCATTCCAGCTTTTCCGCAAAACTTTAATCCAATTATTTAACTTCTCTGTGCTTTGGTTTTGTTTAACCTCATAAAACAGTGATGATGATAAATGGTACACCAGCTACCTCATGGGTTCTTTTTGAGAATTATATGGAATAATGCAAATAAAAACCAGGGCTAGGGATATAGACAACACTCAGTGAAGCTACTTTAAAGTATTGTGTTTTTATTATGGAAAAGATCTGGGCTGGATTCTGGCTCAGCCACTAACGCACAGTGTCACTATGGGTGGGTCACTTTCTGTGTTGGTTCTCTGTGAGTATCCTGTGCTTTCCCAACCACCGGGTCTCAGCCACGCCTTCCCTCATCCTTGCTCCCCATCTTTTAGGACAATAGCCGGAGGCAGAAGCAGTTGTTAAACCAGAGGTTTGAGAGCCTGTGCGCAGTGCTGGAGGAGCGCAAGGGCGAGCTGCTGCAGGCGCTGGCCCGGGAGCAAGAGGAGAAGCTGCAGCGCGTCCGCGGCCTCATCCGTCAGTATGGCGACCACCTGGAGGCCTCCTCTAAGCTGGTGGAGTCCGCCATTCAGTCCATGGAAGAGCCACAGATGGCGCTCTACCTCCAGGTGGGCCCTAGGGGAGGGTAGCAGTGCCGCACAGTGGCTAGAGTCGGGGCCTTGGTACCTGGAGACCCAGGTTCAAGTCTTGTCTCTTGCACCTGTTTGCCACTACGACCGTGGGCAAGTCACCCCCTCTGAGTTCATTTTCTACTTAACGATTGGGATGTGCCTTCCCACCTACCCCACAGGACTGTGGTGAGACTCAGAAATGGGACTTTGCCCGGGTTGGCCCGGTGCTTACTCTCACCCTCCTTTTCTTCCCTGCAGCAGGCCAAGGAGCTGATCAATAAGTGAGTAGGCACAGCGGGAAGGGAAAGGAGGGGGCTGCGCTGCTCCACTGGCTGGGGGCGGGGCTTGAGGGTGCTGGGGCATTGCCAGCTGAGTCCGTGTGGCCACCGCAGGGTCGGGGCCATGTCGAAGGTGGAGCTGGCAGGGCGGCCGGAGCCAGGCTATGAGAGCATGGAGCAATTCACCGTGAGCGTGGAACACGTGGCCGAAATGCTGCGGACCATCGACTTCCAGCCGGGTGAGGGAGGTGGCCGAGGGCCGCTGGGACTGGGGTTCGGACCCTCTGTGTGGGAGGTGAGGAGGGCACGATGGCCGGAAAGGCAGGGACTCCACCTCACCAGGCCTTCCTTGGGCCCAGGCGCTTCCGGGGAGGAAGAAGATGAGGAGGTGGCCCTGGACGGAGACGAGGGCAGCGCGGGGCCGGAGGAAGAGCGGCCGGATGGGCCTTAAGGTGAGAGCGGCCCGAGGGGCTTGGGGTGGGGCCTGGCTGGTGTGCTCGCGTCCCCTCCCCCAGTGATTGTCCTCCCTGCGGGTCGCATGAAGCCCCCATTCATCGGTGCCACCCAACCCCGGAGCCACAAAGGGCGGAAAAATACACTTTCCTCCTCACCCGCCGTTCCTCGGGGTGCTGGGAGGCAGGCAAGGCAGGCTGAGTAGAGGAGAAACCCACGTGGCGGAGGACGGAGTGAGCGGGGCTCGAGCTGCCTGGCGCCTTCGCAGCACCAGCCCACCGAGCCTTCTTTCCCGGGTACAGGCCTGCGCCAACCCGACCCTGCTCGAGTGCCCGCGCTAGGGTCGGGGAGGATCTGCGCAGAGACCGCGGCGTCGCCCAAATCGGCGCCCGCCCCAGGAGGATCTCAATAAAGAACTCGAGCGTCCCCGACCCGTATCTCCTTTCGCTGCCCAATGCCGCAGCCTCGGCTTCGGAGGCGACCCGCCCACCATCCTGCCCTTCCCAGAACCTGAGACTATCCGGGGGGCGGAAGCCAAATGAACCCCTATTGGGCACCTCTGTGATGCCAGGAGCGAAATGGTGAGCCCAGCGCCCTGGGAAAAGGGTTGAGGGCGGGGCGGTGGTGCTGGGACCTCTGAGGTCCTAGGGATTTGGGGACCCCTGGGGTTCAAAGGCACCTGGCTGACCTGGCTGAAAGCCGCTCTCCTGGAGCCCCCCACAGCATTTTGTTCCCCTCCCGCTGGCCCGGGGGCCCCACCTTCCCACGGGCTCCCACGCTGCTGTGACTGCCCTGCCCCCACGACAGAAGCCAACGGGTCTTCAGTACTTTTATTAAAAAATAGTCAAGCAGAGAGTGCCCTGGTGGCTCTGCCCCGCATCCCAACCCTGGGGTGGGGGAAAGGGGTCAAAGTTTTCGCGGCCACAAACCGGGCCGTCACTTGCCCACCGAGTCGAATATGATGCGGTTCTGCTCGGCGCGCTCCCGCTGGCTCTGCGTCCGCGCCAGCTCCAGCAGGGTCCGCAGCAGGTGAAAGGTGAGGTCAATGGACAGAGGAGGGTTGTCCCGCCGCGGCCGCTCGCCTGCCGTCCCGGGTTCCCATCGGCTGGACCCTGCGCGGCGCGGGAAGCGCTCTGCCAGCAGCAAGAGGAGCGCGCGGGCCCCGCCGCCCTGGTTCCGTGCCCCGGGGCTCCAGCGCAGACTCGGGTCCTGGACCCCGGCCGCCTCGGGGCTCCTCTGGCTGTTCCCAGGGCACAGCTGTAGCAGGAGCAGCAGCGCGGCCAGCAGCGCCGCGCGCCCCGCCTGCCTCATGGTGCCGCCGGCCCTGGACACACAGGGGCAGCGCAGGGTGAGGTGCGCCTGGGGCAGCTGCAGGAGGCCGCTCCCCTCCCTGCGCTCGCCCGGCGACCCTTCCGGTAGCCGCCCAATGCCCGCAGCCTGCCCTCCAGCCCCGGCCACTGCGCCAGTGCTGTTCCATCCCTTCCACCCAGCTTCCCTCCCGAAGGAGCGCAGTGGCTGAGCTGAGTGGAGTCCTGGTGCTGGGGGAGGCTGGGTGGACGCTCTGAGCCACTCACAGGTTGTCGGCGAATGTTTGTACGGTCCAAGATTGAGCTCCAGTCTCTGTCCCTCGGGGCGGGCCGAAGGCGCCTTGGGGAACACAGGGTCTGTCCCGGGACTGCCGCCAGCCTTATATAGCGACAGGACAGCTCCGACTGACGTCAGCGAAGAACATGCACTGATTGTAGAAGCAATGACAGCCACAGCTTCGAGTCTGGCGGCTGGCGGGCCCCGGAAGGGCGCACCTCCCGACATGAGCCTTCGTCTCCCTGGGGCTAGCGCTGGAAGCAGCACTGGACGCAGGAGAGCGAGAAGCTGGCTGGGGCGAAAGGACTGCTCTGGGACCCACGGGAGTCCCTCGCCCTGCTTAGAACCGCCAGCAGTGACTAGGGCCGTCACCAGACCAGACTAGTCCGGGTCGCGTGTTCTGACACACGAAAGGGAGGCGGGACCGTGGGGGCTGTCCGTGGTGCTGACCTCGTCCTGCGCCTCTAGAAGTGGCTAGAGATGATGTGAGAACGCTGTACTGCTGCAAACCACTGCCTCGTGGCAGCTATCAGTTCTGCAAATGCAGGTATCAGGAGTCCACCGCTGGCACTCAGCCAACACAGTGGGTCCCATTGAGAGGCAGTCTTCCACAACCAAAGTCTCCCAGCATTCTCATCTTTTTCCAGCCCCAGGATCCAAATTCTAGGGCTGTCTGACACAGGCACCATGTAACAGAGGGTCTCTGGCCTCCAAGTGCGTTCAGACCACAAATATGGCCCATCTGCTTTTGAGTTTGTCCAAAGTGGTAGTTTAGCAAAGTTCCGTTTCTCTCCTGGGAATCATAGCAGCAGTATTACTCTGCCCATGAGTAGTAAAGAAATATGGGTTCAAGTTTCTGCTAACTCCTGGTGTGGGCAGGTCACCTCCCTTCTACCAACCTCAGGGTTCTCAGTTGTAGAAGACTGGGCTTGGCCAGGCGTGGTGGCTCATGCCTGTAATCCCAACACTTTGGGAGGCCGAGGCAGGTAGATCACGAGGTCAGTAGTTCGAGATCAGCCTGGCCAATATGGCAAAACCCCATCTCTACTAAAAATACAAAAATTAGCTGGGCATGGCGGTGCGCACCTATAGTCCCAGCTCCTCAGAAGAATCACCTGAACCCAGGAGGCGGAAGCTGCAGTAAGCCGAGATAGCGCCATTGTACTCCAGCCTGGGAGACAGAGCGAGACTCCATCTCAAAAAAAAAAAAAAAAGATTGGGCTTGGTGGTCTCTTGGCTTCTTTCCAGCTCTAGAAATGACTCCCCATTACCACTGCAGATTCCGGATTACACATTTAATAACATATTTACTGAGGCATCATATAAAGGGTTCCGGGGGTCTCTGAAGAGCTGGAGCTACAAGGCTAGGCAGGGTTAGAGTAACAAATGTGTCTATGAAGAGTGGGGATGAGTGGCATTTGCTGGGATATGTGTGTAAAGTTGATAAGGTCATGAAAGTTCAACAGATATTTATGGAGTGCCTAGTATGTGGTGGGAATAAGACTATTATCAAGGGCTCTAAAGCAGTCAGTGCACATTTTAGAGTGAAGGGAGCATTGCAGGGTGCTAGTCCTCTTAAGTTCTGACTGGCAACCCAACCCTGTGGAAACTAGTGTGCCCACTTTAGGAAGTTGTCTGACCGTTCCAGGGCCAAGCTGCATCACTGCAAGGTGGAAACGATGAAGTGAGGCCGGCTTAGAGCCGATGTGCCTTCCAGGACAGGTAGGAGTTCCAGATAACAGCAACACATTGGACAACGGCCAACCTAAGGAACAAGAATAACACGGTGAAGAGGAGGAAAGCTAAGCAGTGAGCAAGGGCTGGAGATGAGAGTGTGAAATGGAAAAGGAGGGATCATGTCAGAAGATTGGCAGGTTTAGGTCTCTTTCCTTCAGCGCCTTTTTTTTTTTTTTTGAGATGGAGTCTCCTCTGTCGCCCAGGCTGGAGTGCAGTAGTGCGATCTTGGCTCACTGCCTCCCGGGTTCAATCAATTCTCCTACCTCAGCCTCCCAAGTAGCTGGGACTACAGGTGTGCTCCACCACACCTGGCTAATTTTTGTATTTTTAGTAGAGACAGGGTTTCACCATGCTGGCCAGGCTGGTCTCAAACTCCTGACCTCAAGTGATCTACCCACCTCGGCCTCCCAAAGTGCTGGGATTACAGGTGTGAGCCACCGCACCCAGCCCCTTCAGTGCCCTGTGAAGGGCCTGTGTGGCTTGGACTAAAGGACAACTGGCTCAAATTCTAGTGCCATCCCAGAGCTCTGTTTCCTGGCTGAGAGCCTCAAAGGCTAAATATTTAGCGGCTCTCTTGCCACATGTAGCTCTGTTAATCACAGAAAGGGCCCCTATCTGTCCTGTACCAGCTGAGATTTCATCTTACAAAATGTACGGACTACCATACAAAGTAGCATCTTTTTGTTTTAAATTAACCTTGCTCTGGTTTCAAAGAGTGTTGCAAAGGACCCTAATGTTTAAGATTTGGTTCATAAGTCTGTATTCCTTTTTTGTTTTCTGTTTTTTTTTTTTGGAAATGGAGTCTCACTCTGTTGCCCAGGCTGGAGTGTGGTGGTGCGATCTTGGCTCACTGCAACCTCTGCCTCCCAGGTTCAAGCAATTCTCCTGCCTCAGCCTCCCGAGTAGCTGGGACTACAGGCACCTGCTACCACGCCCAGCTAATTTTTGTATTTTTAGTAGAGACAGGGTTTCACCATATTGGTCAGGCTGGTCTCGAATTCCTGACCTTGTGATCCGCCCGCCCCAGCCTCCCAAAGTGTTGGGATTACAGGCGTGAGCCACTGCGCCCAGCCTTTTTTTTTTTTTTTTTTTTTTTTTTGAGACAGGGTCTCACTCTGTCACCAGGCTCTGAAATGCAGTGGCACAATCTTGGCTCACAGCAACCTCCATCTCTCGGGCTCAAGTGATCCTTCCACCTCAGCCTCTCGAGTAGCTGGGACTACAGGCATATGTTACCATGTGCCTGGCTAATTTTTTGTATTTTCTGTAGAGATGAGGTCTCACTATATTGCCTAGGCTGGTGTCAAACTCCTAGACCCTAGCAAACCTCTCGCCTCAGCCTCCCAAAGTGCTAGAATTGCAGGTGTGAGCCACCATGCCCAGCCAGTCTGTATTCATTTTAGCTATGTTATTCATGTACATTTTGGCCATGTTCCCCCTTATTTTCCCCTGTTCCCACAATCCCTCACCTCCAAGCATTTGAACCACACATCTTCAGTTCCACTATTTTTTTGGGTGCAGTTCAGCAACTGTCTTTATCATGAGTGTCTGGCCAGGCTTCTACTTGGCTTTCTGGTCTACCTCTCTGTCTAACCTAGGCTGCAGCACCCCAGCCACTGTCCCTCCAGATACGCCATCAAAGGCGGAGCCCCAGGTGGGATGGAGACAAGGGTGGTAGAAGCAGGATCCTCCCTAGGGAGATGAAGAAGGTCAGTGGGCAGACACTCTGGACGGTTTCTGGAAATGGCTAGACATCTGAATAACACGCTTGGGAATCTGAGAAACTCTGATCAGGGCTCAGTGTTCCAGTTGGGGGTCTAAGGTAGCTCAAGGTTGAAATGAGAATCATTTTGTCTCCAACTGTTGGTAACGTGGGTATTCCTTGATGGGTGGGGTAGGGGTGCGACATACCTGTAATGAAGGGGGACCAGGTAGAAGTTGGCTAACTGCACAGCAGGCCATAGCTGCAAGAGAGAAGGTAAAGGTTGGATGGCTGCCCCACCACCTGACCCCAGACTCACTGTCTTGCCTGGCCCTACCCCAACTTCTGCACATAAGAGAAAGGTGAACAATTGGGTGATGGCTTCCCTATTTATGGTGCCCATCCTGGGAATGAAAGAGTAATCCCAACGGAAGGGCTTCCCATGTCAGGAGGACCCCCAATCCCAGGACAGTTCTAGACTTAAGGAAGCAGAAGAACAAGCAGTTGAGGTGTCAGCTCTTACATAGTAGTTGGTGATAAGGGCATCAGGATAATCCTGGGGAGACAGAGAAGGAACAAATTAACACTTGCACCTCCAAGCAGCTCCCACTTCCCAGTGTGAATGACAGACTTGGGTTCAAAGAGCACATTCCTGCACCATAACCCTCAGCTCCTCTCCTTCATGGCCTGGGACTCAACCTGCACTTACCCCCTTTTTTATCCCTGTAAAACCTGTCTCCTTCCCCTGGGCTGTCAGTCTGCTAGCCAGAGACATTCTCCACACCTGCCCAGCTCACCCGCTGTAGTTTGGCCCAGTTGTCCTTGGCTGACAGTCCATTGAGTGCCCCTACCAGTGGGAGAAAGCAGCCTAGAAAACACGGGGCAAAGCCCCCCTAGGGAAGAGAAATTAAAGTCCTATGAGTGCTGAAATCCCCACCTACCCCCAACACAGCTCACCCTCCCCACTCCGTTCTCCTGCTCACCTGATCCAACATCATCTTCTTCAGTGCATCCACCTTGGTGGTGCCAGGGATGAACCGATCCAAAACCTTGTACCAGCCTCCTACCACAGGGCCCTGGAAGTAAACCCCACATAGCAGCAGGCTGCAGTGAGGGAGCACTAGGCCTCTACCTCACTAAGCTCCCCGCCCCAAGTATCAGAAACCCTTAGGGGAAGTGGATACTAAGAAAAGAGGGCGGCAGGTTGGCTTAGGTGTGACAGTCCAAGGGAAGCCAAAGGATGACAAAGAACTAAGGCTACTGTTGAGTCCACTGAAGCCCTGCTGAGGGGAGAACTTACCACAAAGCCACAGCCCAGGGACATCATAGTCAGAGTCCGGCCTCTCTGGTGTTCCTGCAGACCCCGCCTCTCCACCAGCTGCTGTGAGATAATGTCACCCAGGCCCATCAGGGACCCTATGCAGGGTACACAGGTGTTGTCAGGACATCTCCTGGGATGGGCTGCCATTCCAAGGAAGGAGGGACATCTGCTGACCTCCACTGAGACTCTGGTACTCTCATCCCCAGGGCTTCATTCTGGAAACAAATGACTAGTCCCTTCCTGCTGCCTCAAAGCCCTCATCTCCCCAAGGATGGTGACACCTCATGTGTATCCTGTCAGAACTGGGATGAGCAGGCCCAGGAACTTTGCATTGAGCAGTAAAGGGAAGTCAGAGTCAGTAAGTAAAGAGAGAGGAAGGAGAATTTAAGGCCACAGGGCTGAGAACCACAGACCGTCAGAATCAAAAGGGGCTTTAAGATAATTTAATGCAAACCGCTTATTTTAGAGGTATGGAAACGAAGTCCAGGATCCCACATAACCAGTAAGTGCAGGGCCAATGCAAGAACCAGGTGGCTGGATTCCTAGACACTTCTTTCTAGGACACAGCACAATGAATAAATCATGTGTAGAATGGTAGGAAACCCTGTTTTCTCCCCCAAGCCCAATGCAAGACCCTGCCAACAGCTTTCACCTTGGTCTAAGAGATCTCTATTTGTGGAGAACAGCAAAAATAACTTTTTTTTTTTTTTTTTAGACTGAGTCTCGCTCTGTTGTCCAGGCTGGAGTGCCGTGGCATGATCTTGGCTCACTGCAACCTCTGCCTCCCGGATTCAAACGATTCCCCTGCTTCAGCCTCTCAAGTGGCTAGGACTACAGGCACCCACCACCATGCCTGCCTATTTTTTGTATTTTTAGTAGAGATGGGGTTTCGCCATGTTGGCCAGGCTGATCTTGAACCCCTGACCTCAGGTGATCTGCTCGCCTTGGCTTCTCAAAGGGCTGAGATTACAGGCATGAGCCACTGTGCCTGGCCAGAATAACTCTTTTTCTAAAACAAGAGTGCTGGTCTGGAATTGTGGCTCACACCTGTAATTCCGGCACTCTGGGAGGCTGAGGCAGGAGGATTGCTTGAGCCCAGGAGTTTGAGTTCAGCCTGGACAATATAGCAAGACCCAACTTCTACAAAATTTTTTTTTTAAATAATTAGCTGGGCATGGTGGCACGTGCCTGTAGTCCCAGCTACTCAGGAGGCTGAGGTGGGAGGATCGCTTGACCCCAGGAGGTCAAGGCTGCAGTGATCACGCCATCACACTGCTGCCTGAGCGACAGAGCAAGACCCTATCTCAAAAAGAAAAAAGAAAATAAAAGAAGAGTGCTCAAATGGTCATAAGCAGGAAGATGACTGGTTGAGCTGATAAGAGTCCCCACAAGAAAGAGTCTTGGCCACCTCTTAGCACAATCAATCAGCTAAACTGAGATTTCCTCCATTCACAACCTTAGATCAAGTTGGCAATGAATATAGTGGCCATTTCCCCCCCAGAACTCTGCACCTGCTTCCCTTTCCCTAACTGCACAGATACCCAGCTCCAAGCAGCCCTATTTAGACACCCACACCCAGAAACTATGACAGAAATCATCACTGTTTACAGAGCCCCCACTCCGTTATGGTGGCGTGATGATTTCTAGCAAATACACACTTACCAGGCCACTTGGGAGTGACCGTATGATTTCCGGCTCGCCTGTCTATCTCACTGAGTAATGAGAGCCCCCTATCCAAACCCGTAGTCACACTGTCCCTGTGCCCTCAATTAGCACTGGGCAAACACATCCTTCTGCCCCATTCCTTGGCCTGGAGCTGGCTCTGACGTCCATGCTGGCTGCATACTCACTGCTGCGCTCCTCCTCCACACCCTCTGCCCGGCCCTGCCCCTGAGCAGCCTAGTCAGTGACAGCTGGGTATGGCTGAGAGCTGGGGCTGGGGCTGGGGCTGGGCACCCATGCCTCACCTGGGCTACTGGACATGGAGCAGCTCTGGGTACCCCCAATCCTGTCTTGTCTCTCCCTGAAACTCCCAAAGTGGTGGGGGTCTTCCAGAACACTGCGAGACATGACCTCCCAGAGTCAAGGATAGAATCCCAGACACCTTTGTTATCCCATTCCCCCACCATACAGCTAAGCAAGCCCCTGGTAAGCGCTCAGAAAATAAAGGGAAAACGTCAAATGTACTGCTCCAAACAGCAGGACGACTCTGAGAAAGGGCTTAAAGAACTCTTAAGTCTCCCAAAGGTCCAGGTCGGGTAGAAGGTGCGAGGACGTCTAGGGGAACTGCAGGTTTGCTCCCACCCCCAAGCAATCAGCACTGGGTTCCCTATCCCTCCAGTCAGGGATAAGAGGGAGCTGCTGCAGCCTTGAAGAAAGGGAAGAGTGCTGCCGAGAAGACCAGGGGATGGTGAGGCAGAAAAGGCAGTTCTTTCTGAAATGAAGGGACCAACAGTGTAATGGTGTACTTTGGTAAGGTGTTTACAAAGGGCTCTTACACATTTAATCCTCACAAAAGATCTGGGAGGTAGGTGGTCACACCCCCATTCATTCATTCATTCACTTATTTTTGAGATGGAGTCTCGTTCTGTCGCCCAGGCTGGAGTGCAGTGGTACGATCTCAGCTCACTGCAACCTCCGCCTTCCTGGTTCAAGCGATTCTCCTGCCTCAGCCTCCTGAGTAGCTGGGATTACAGGTGCCCACCACCACACCTGGCTGATTTTTGTAGTTTTAGTAGAGATGGGGTTTCACCATTTCACCATGTTGGCCAGGTTGGTCTCGAACTCCTGACCCCAAGTGATCTGCCCGCCTCGGCCTCCCAAAAGTGTTGGGATTACAGGTGTGAGCCACTGCACCCGGCCTACACCCCCATTTAATGATGAGTCTTTGAGAGATGAGGTGGCTTGGTAAAGAGTGCAGTTGGAACTGAACCCAGTCCTTCTCCCAAGGAGGACCAAGGAGGCCAGGGTATTCCCAGCATGGGCTGAGATGGGCTCAGAGGTCAGTAGCACCAGGAGGCCCCTGTGGCTGCTCCCCTGCTAGGTGTTCCTGCCCACGTGAGGCCCCAAAGGGCTTGCATATCAAAGACATTCCCTAGACTAATGCACTTCCTCTCTGTCTTTACTCCCCCAAATTCCATCACTCTGCTCCTTGTCACCTCGTGGGGATGGCAGGCAGCAATATTCCTGGGAAAGAAACAGAGAAGTGTGTGTGTTTTCACTCTTCATGACTTGCCAACAGTCACACAACAAGCTAGAGGCAGAGCTTGAATGAAAAGCCAGGTCCCTGACTTCTAGCCCCATAGTTTAGAAGCCTGCAGCCTTGGAGAAAGATGGATTCAAGTCCCCCAAACTGTGCCCATCAAGCCTGAGGGACTACCAAGTGACAGGGCAGCAGTAGGGGTGAGTAGGTGGTGTGTAGATATGCAGTCCCTGACAGTTTATTTCAGAAGAGTGGCGCCCAGGGATTCCTTTGCCCACAGATGATCAGGCCTCCAGTGCCTGCAGCAACTCCAAGGTGGTATAAGGCTTTAGAGCAAGCATAGAGCAAGCGTGCTTTTCCAGCCCAAGTGACCCTTTGGGCAGGAAGGACAGACATTCAGATTCCTCACCCCATCTTCCCCAACCCAGAGCCCAAAGAGATCCAAACCACCCCAGCCTCTGGGAGGTCTCCTGGATATGTTTGGTTGGTCTGGACTCTCCAGTACTCTGGGCCCACTCCCCTTGGACTTGTTTCTAGGGAGCTGGGACTGGAGGCCTGCAAACATAATGGCCAGAGGCCTGATGGGCAGGGCGAGGGGCTATTGGGCAGTGATGCCCAATGACAGGCTGGGCATGGAGCCCAGTGAGCAGATGCTGGCGCAGGTGTGACATCATGCCCCTGGGTAGGTGCCAGTTCTCATGCCGTCACTCCCCACCAGATCCAGAGGCCGGGGGAAGGGAGCCTGCCACTGAGCAGATTGATTTGGGACCACTTCCTGTCCACTAGAGGAAAAGCCCCAACTTCCACACCCTCTTCCCAGGCATGGGTGGCGTAAATTCCCTACTTCTCCTATTTTGTTCCTCTGCTTACTTTTGTGGCTTTTGAGTCTCATGCGCAGAAGGCAGAGGGGCAAGAAGTGGTTTCTTGGAATGAGGAGCAGGAAGCGTGTCCTTCAGTCCAGGAGGGCTGGGTCAGCAGGTATAGCTACTGGCATGAGGCCAGCAGTGCTGCCTTCCTCCTCAGAAGTCTCCAAACATTAGTCAGCTGCCTAGGGTAGGGGCTCAGTCTGGCACAGAGCCCAGAGGGAGTGGAAGCCCAGCAGTGGGAAGGGAGAGTGGATCCTCTGGGATTATTCTGAATGCTCTCTCATTTCTGGCCTGAACCCATCCTACTGCTAGAAAATGAGACAAAATGGGTAGTTTTGCAGCTTGTCACGTATCTAAGCTGAGATCAGCTGGGGTTGCACTCAGCATCTGGAGGCTCCAGTAGTCTCAAGGGCATGGCAGTGTGGCGGGCAGTGCCCTAGGTTATAACGCCAGCTCAACCACTGACTGAGACCTCAGTGCATGACACGCCCACTCCTGCCTCAGTTTCCTTCTCTGCAGTCTCACAGGCTGGACTAGATGGTCTGTAAGTTCTATTGAGCTCTCACACCCTAGCTTAATTCAGACCCCAGGGAAACCAGTATCTGTAGGAGCTCAGCTGCTCCCACAGCAGGACCGAGTAGACTAAGATGGATGCAGCTCGGCCCTGGGCCCACTGGAGAGTGGAAAGGCCCTCAAAAAAGGAAGGGATAAGGCTGACTCAAACTCTGTAGAACATGCAGCAACCCTTTCCCCAGGCTACCCTGTTCCGGACTCTGGCTTGGCCAAAACTGGTATACCAGACATTTCTTTTAAATCATTTCAAATGTTCTTGATTCACCTATTTCTTACTCCAGACATTACTGTAGTAATGACAGATTCTTGCTTCAGGCCTATGCCACACCTGGACCTTTGCTACTGATGGCTTCAGTGACTATGCATGTACAAACTAGTAGCGGAGGGGAGTTATCCCATGAGGTGAATTTTTTTTTTTTTTTTTTTTTTTTTTTTTTTTTTTTTTTTTGAGACAGAGTCTCGCTCTGTTGCCTAGGCTGGAGTGCAGTGGCACGATCTCAGCTCACTGCAACCTCTGCCTTGCGGGTTCAAGCAATTATCCTGTCTTGGCCTCCTGAGTAGCTGGGACTACAGGCACCCCCAGCTAATTTTTGTATTTTTAGTAGAGATGGGGTTTCACCTTGTTGGTCAGGCTGGTCTTGAACTCTTGACCTCAGGTGATCTACCCATCTCAGCCTTCCAAAGTGCAGGGATTATAGGATTACAGGCATGAGCCACTGTGCCTGGCCTTTTTTTTCTTTTTTTTTGAGATGGAGTCTCACTCTGTCACCCAGGCTGGAGTGCAGTGGCGTGATCTTGGTTCATTGCAACCTCTACCTCCTGGGTTCAAGCAATTCTCCTGCCTCAGCCTCCTGAGTAGCTGGGATTATACCACCATGCCCACCATGCCCAGCTAATTTTTGTATTTTTAGTAGAGATGGGACTTCACCATGTTGGCCAGGCTGGTCTCGAACTCCTGACCTCAAGTGATTTGCCTGTCTTGGCCTCCCAAAGTGCTGGCGAGCCACCATACCCAGCCTGGGGTAAGTCTTTGGAATCTTTGACCAATGTGGGATGGGAGTGGTAGAAAAAGGTTTCTTCTTTTCTCTAGAAATAGCTATTCATCCAGACAGTCCTAAGGAGTATTTCTTTTCTTTCCTTTTTTTTTTTTTTTTTTTGAGATGGAGTCTCACTCTGTCACCCAGGCTGGAGTGCAGTGGTGCGATCTCAGCTCACTGCAACCTCCACCTCCCAGGCTCAAGCAATTCTCCTGCCTCAGCCTCCCGAGTAGCTGGGATTACAGGGGCCCGCCACCATGCCCAGCTAATTTTTGCATTTCTAGTGGAGATGGGGTTTCACCATATTGGCCAGGTTGGTCTCAAACTTCCGACCTCAGGTGATCCGCCCACCTCAGCCTCCCAAAGTGCTGGGATTACAGGCGTGAGCCACCACGCCCAGCCACTTTAAGGAGTATTTCAAAAAGCTTCTCAGTTCCAAGGGACTGAGCAACAGCTGCCCTTAGCAGGGGCTTGTTCAATAATACATCCTTATAGTGGCTCTCCATCTTTCCCTCAATGGGATCATTTCCTACTCCCTAACAAGGTATCTGCACGTAAGCTTCAGGCTCTGCTTTCTGGAACCCAAGGCTAAGATGGTTATCCATGTTCAGATTATAGTAAGTGGAACAAACCTAACCCAAACACCACTATAAAAAGAATACAGCTTAGGCAATATGGCAAAACCCCATCTCTACCAAAAAACAAAAGAAATTAGCTGGGCATGGTGGTGCAAGCCTGCAGTCCCAACCACTCAGGAGGCTAAGGCAGAGGATCCTCTGTTTCCCAGGCTGGAGTGCAGTGGCACAGTCACAGTTCAGGATGGGATCATGCCACTGCACTCCAGCCTGGGCAAAAGAACAAGACCCTGTCTCAAATAATAATAATAATAATAATAATAATAATAATAATAATATAGTTTATTGTGCCTGGGTTGCCAACACTTACAGAAAGAACCAACCTGTTGAGTCTTTAAGTTTATGGAGCATTTAAAAACATTTCCAGGTGGGGCACAGTGGCTCACACCTGTAATCCTAGCACTTTGGGAGGCCGAGGTAAGTGGATCACTTGAGGTCAGGAATTCAAGACTAGCCTGGCCAACATGGAGAAAGCCCGTTTCTACTAAAAATACAAAGAAGTAGCCTGGTGTGGTGGTGTGCACCTGTAGTCCCAGCTACCCAGGAGGCTGAAGCATGAGAACTGCTTAAACCCAGGAGGTGGAGGTTGCAGTGAGCAGTGAGCACCACTGCTCTCCAACCTGGGCAACAGGGTGAAACTTTGTCTCAAAAAAAAAAAAGAAAGAAAGAAAGAAAAAGGCCGGGCTCAGTGGCTCACGCCTGTAATCCCAGGACTTTGGGAGGCCGAGGTGGGCGAATCACGAGGTAAAGTGTTTGAGACCAGCCTGGCCAACATGGTGAAACCCCATCTCTACTAAAAACACAAAAACTTAGCTGGGCGTGGTGACAGGTGCCTATAATCCCAGTTACTCGGGAGGATGAGGCAGGAGAATCGCTTGAACCTGGGAGGTGGAGGTTGCAGAGTGAGTCGAGATCACACCACCGCACTCCAGCATGGGCAACAGTGTAAGACACTGTCTCAAAAAAAAAAAAAAAAAATTTCCAAAACCTTTTCACAGTGATAATCCTATACTGACCCTGTGAGGTCATATAACTAAACTCAAGAATTTTTTGTTGATTTTTTTCTTTTTGAGATGGAGTTTCGCTCTTGTTGCCCATGCTAGAGTGCAATGGCACGATCTTGGCTCACCGCAACCTCTGCCTCGTGAGTTCAAGTGATTCTCCTGCCTCAGCCTCCCAAGTAGCTGGGATTACGGGCATGCGCCACCACGCCCCGCTAATTTTGTATTTTTAGTAGAGATGGGGTTTCACCATGTTGGTCAGGCTGGTCTCGAACTCCCGACCTCGGGTAATCTGCCCACCTTGGCCTCCCAAAGTGCTGGGATTACAGGCATGAGCCACCGTGCCTGGCCCTTTGCCCATTTTAAAAATTGGATTTTTTTTTTTTTTTTTTTGTGATGGAGTCTCGCTCTGTTGCCAAGGCTAGAGTGCAATGGCATGATCTCGGCTCATTGCACCCTCTACCTCCTGGGTTCAAGCAATTCTCCTGCCTCAGCCTCCCGAGTAGCTGGGATTACAGGCATGTACCACTACACCAGGCTAATATATATATATATATGTATATTTTTTTGAGTTGGAGTCTTGCTCTGTTGCCCAGGCTGGAGTGCAGTGGCACGATCTTGGCTCACTGCAAGCTCTGCCTCCTGGGTTCACGCCATTCTCCTGGCTCAGCCTCCCAAGTAGCTGGGACTACAGGTGCCCGCCACCATGCCTGGCTAATTTTTTTTTTTGTATTTTTAGTAGATGGGGTTTCACCGTGTTAGCCAGGTTGGTCTCGATCTCCTGACCTCGTGATCCTCCCACCTCAGCCTCCCAAAGTGCTTGGATTACAGGCATGAGCCACCACACCCAGCCCCTAAACTCAAGTTTTAAAAGAGGAAACTGAGGCTTAAAGAAGTTTACTGACTTGTCCTGATTAATGCACCTACTAGGTGCTATGGCTTTAAGATTCACATCCTGGTCTTCTAAGTCTGAAATCTCTGTACTGTTTTCCAGTGTGATGAGCTATCCCATGGGACCTTAGGAGCTACTGTGCTGGCGTCCAAAAATGGCTCAACTAAAGCCACTTTCACCTTTTATTTGTAGTTTAATCCAAATACACTGAACAGCAGGGAAGGAATAGTCTGAATGGTCTGAAACAGTCTGGGAAAAGTGCTGAGAGGCTACATTTTGCTTCAGGTCTGAGCTGGGACGTCAGCATAGCCTCAGTCGCTGTGGAGGTGAAGGGCTCCAGCACCGAGAGCCTGGAACTCCAGCCACATGTCGGCACCTAGGCCTCCTTGGAGCTCTAGCTCCTGCCATTGTCAGCTGCAGATGCCTTGGGTAGGGAAATATAAGGACTCTTTCCCTCCCTATTCTTGATGACCACAAGGGGGAACCTTCCATCTGGCAGTTATGGGCCCTGAGGGAATCTGAGCCTGGGCAAAGGGCCCAGCGTGTCAGTTCCCATCACAGCCACACTGTCCAGCATGAGTCACCACACACGCAGCCAGGTGAGTCATACAGGCTGACGGACACTGAGGACAGGACGAGAGGTGGTTGGGCACCGGAGACTGGAGAGGGGCCCAGGGAAGGGCCAAAGAATCCATATCCTGGCCATTCATGCAGTTAACTTTCTGTGCTGATGTAGGGCTATTCTGGTTACAGGATCCCTGTTCCACTCTGGCTTTCAGTAGCCCCCAATCCCTTCCAACAGTCCTCTTCTTAGAAGCCCAGTCATCACTAGAATCCTGTTCCCCTCCTCTAAACATGGGCAAGACCTCATCTTAATGTGATCACTCTTTGTACCCCAAATGTTCTAAGGCCTTCTGTCATTCCCCCTATAAGACTTACTTATCTTCGTGCCATCCTCTTACATTAGCTAACTTGCAAAATGAAGATGGTAACAAATGCAGGTAGGTCACTGCATTACCTCTGTGAGGTTAGTACTCAATCACTGCATTTGGAGTGACTGGTATCTGATCACTCCAAATGGATCAGGATGGAGTGATCAGATACCAATATACTAACCTTGGTTAGTATATTGTTTGGAGATACATATTTAGGCAGTAAATGATAAGAAAAGCAAATGAATGATATAAACAAAACTCTGGAAATTTTCAGTGAATTAGGGAGAGGTGCTCAAGAGGTCTCAAAGCTGATTACTGACACAGAAGTGTTCAGTATTAATGCCATTTAAACTATACATACACGTCTTAATCATTCTTTTGCATGTTTCACAATAAAAAATACCACGAAAAACTGGGGTAAGAGTCTTGATTCAGCACTTATTAGGTGTGATCTAATATGGACTCAAGTAACTCTCCTCTCACACACCTTTGTGGGGGCCCTATGCCATAATGTATATGAAAGTGTTTTGCGTACAGTAAAATGTTAGTTTTCCAAGTTGAGGCCTCCTGGGGCAATGCCTTTATCCTTCAGGATTGACTGTTCAGCTTTTTGAGGACTTTGAAATCCTAAAACCCCGCTGCACAGCTTGGCCAACTACGTATACCCCTTAAAAACAGCCTTGGGCGCCACCCTCCAAAACAGACTGGGGACAGTGTGGGATGAAAGACAGCCAACCCTTCAAGAGAGCTGAACAGAAACAGGAAGTGAGGGTGGTGCAGTGGGGCAAGCCTCTGGCTTCCAAATCAGTCTGCCCTGGTCCCACTCAAGTCCTAGAGGGACACTCACCAGCTGTCAGGACCTGTACTTTCCACGGGTGAGCAGCCAGGGCCCGCTGGTATGCCCGCCAGAGTGCCATGCTTCCTGTCAAGCCAAGAGGAGAGGGGGTCACCCCTACTGTCCCTCTCCACGACTAAGAAGTCGCCTGACATTCCCTTGTGCCCACTCCCTTCCCCTTCCCACTTCCAGTGTGACTTAAAGTGACAGAGGTCACATGAGGGATGCTTCCCAGACAGCTTCCTGTGGCAGGAGTCGGCTTAGACAATTGGGGAAGAGAGAAAGGCTGTGGGAAGCTATGGCCTCCTGGTAGCAGCCACAAGCCACCTCAGTCCTGAAGCCGGACCACCTGGAGGCCTCCGTTCCCGACCGAGACAAGCATGAGGACAGCTTTGCTCTAGCTTCTACCCAGAGCTTGGGTGCCTCAAAAGATAGCTTGGTCCGTCTCAGATTCAGACTTGGTTGGAAACAGTTTGTAACCTTCCTGAGTCCAGCTCCAGACCGAAAACGGGGCCCGTCACTGCCCGGATATAGGATGACCACACGCTTTGTGGGCACTCATGGCTTGCGACGCTTCGAGCCAGAGACCGCAGATCACCCGCCACTCACCTGAGCGCGAGCTGGGCGCGGAGACTCCCTCCAACCTGACAGGCTGGCCTAGGAACTTCCGCCACAAGCCCCGCCCCTTCCGCCCAGCGTCCTTCGGGTTTTGCAGCCAGGGTAGAAATGAGTGGACCGAGCCGTGAATACCCGTGGAGAGCGACCCCTTTTCCAGCGGGACTGTGCCGGACCCTGGTGTGGGGCCCGCCAGCCATATTTCTCACCTGAGTTGGACCCTCCTCCTGCCCCTTCTCTCCCCTCGAGGCCCGGGCCTCTCTGAATCCGGTAGTCTCATTGTTCAGCCCACCCTCCGCCCATAACTGGCCATAACTACGATCCTTATCTCAGCAATCGTAGTTAGGGAACTGTAAGTTATGGTTAAGTGCGTGTTTTGTCTCTAGGTTCTTCATTGGCCTCAACTGTGAGCTCATGAGCGGGTACAACTTGGGTCGTTTATATTTGTCGTCCTCATAGCAACTATTTCAGTGCTTTGCCGCAAACAGCCACTTAAGAAATACTGCATATGTATGATTCTTCCACAGAAAGCATTGGAATTAGAACTTCAGAAGACATTAGATATTGGCTCCCAAACTAACGGGCTGCATGTGCAGCCTTAGTCATGACTAGACTTGATCTGCATCTAATGAGGGAGGTTACACTACTGACTTTCAAAACTCGGCTCCTCAGTTCTAGAGATTTTTCAGATGTTTGTGTGTGGGAATGAGGGGCAGCATTATTACAGCTGCTTCTCCAACTTTTTTTTTTTTTTTAAGTATATACTTCTCAAAAGACCCATTTTTAACAATGGGCCCCACAACTGCATATTTGAAAACCAAAGCTAGGTGATTTCTTAATCCCCTTCCAGCTCTAACAGAGTCTGTGAATATAGAGCAATATCCTTTCTAGAGCGTTGGAAATGTCTACAATATCCCTGGCAATGGACTTGTCAGGCTGCAGACTTGACTTATCTCCAGGGAGCCCACACGTCAGGAGGCACACTCTTTCAGGCTCTCCACCTGCCCAGCTCCACCCCCAATTTACTCAATTCCTTTATGATTAAGGCAGGGAGACTCCTGCCACAAATCCTGGAGAAACAGAGTAGGGAAGCAAGAGAAGTCAGTGTCACAAACATTTAACTAAAACACTACTTGCAAAACAGCATGCTAGAGGAGTTAATTGGCACAAGTAAATGTAATAGGAGACCAAATGTGGCAGGCTGTAAAGTTATATTCTGAAGTTATACTGAGTTCAAATCCCCAGCACCACCACTTACTAGTTATGTGACCTTGACCTTTTACAGACAGCCTACCCTCTCCAACTCTTTTATCATTAAAATGGCAATACCTACCTCACAAAAGTGACATATGCAAAGTGCTTAAAATGGATCAAGTGCTTAATGCTTGTTTATCCTTTTTCCTTCCTTCCCCCTTGGGAACACAAGGAAGGGAGGCTATTTTTTACTGGAGAAAACTGGGAAGCTCTTTGGTGAAGGTGGAATTTGAGCTGGGACCTTTCTGAAGGATGAATTGAACTCAGATGAAGATGGTGGAAAAAGACACTCTGGCGAAGGGAGGAGTATGAGAAGAGGAATAAAGGTAGAGAAGTGTATGAACAATGGATAGTATGCAGTGGATATATTGGCAGGTAGGGTTAGAAAGAGAAAAAGCTTCTGGTAGAGAAAAAGAACAAGGTCAAGATCAGGGCTGAGACTCAGTTGCAGAAGCAGGGCTGCCAGCACCAACCTACAGCCTCAAGTGCGGATCCCCAGGTCTCATCTTTTCTACCACTGAAAATAGGAAGGGGGCTGCCCTGTAGAATTGAGTAAAACTTCTCTTCAACAGAAGGCACTTGCCTAACAGCTCAAAAAACAAAACTGGCTCAATGTGAGCTGGATCCCAATAGGGTTGCGCAACACTTGGCTTCTTTGCACTTACATAGGTTGTGGTTTCTCTGCTGTTGATGGACTTGGGTTTCCTCCAGGTCTGTTTTCTCATCTGTACAGGATGGGGTCTCGCTCCATCACCCAGGCTGGAGTGCAGTGGCAGGATCTCTGCTCACTGCAACCTCCACCTCCCAGGTTCAAGTGATTCTTCTGCCTCAGCCTCCCGAGTAGCTGGGATTACAGGTGTGCACCACTACACCTGGCTAATTTTTTATATTTTTGGTAGAGACAGGGTTTCACCATGTGTTGGCCAGGCTGGTCTCTAAATCCTGACCCTAAGTGATCTGCCTGCCTTATCTCCTAAAGTGTTGGGATTACAGGCATGAGCCACCACACCTGACTGGGACTTAACTTGATCCCTTCTTAAAGGAGGTTTTCTGATAGATGAAGTCCCTACACTACTTATTTGGCCAGTCTAGAATGCCAGAGTGTTTTGTTCCAGGTAGGCACTGATCTCATCTCCACTCTCTCCAAAAAGCAGCTGCCTGTTTTTTTTCTATTTCCTGAGGTCATCCAACTATTTCCCTCCAAACCCCAGCCTACACTCCTAGGCATTTCAAGACCATGGTTTGCCTATTTCTCATCACTGGGGTGTGTCCTTGCTTAGGAGGCAGTATCATAGTCACTGTGAGTCTGCAGCATCCCACAAGAAGCCTCTAACAAGATGAGATACAACATTACTGTACTTGGGTTCTGAACACCTCCTACACACAGAACTGAAGTAGGTAAACATTCTAGTAAGTCAACAATGTGACAGTATAATGAAGGATCAAAAATCATGACGTGTAAAAGAATGGTTGAAGTAACTGAAGATATTTAATCTAGAGAAGATTTGGGAAACACATGATAGGTATGGTTAAATACTTAACAGGGCAATCACAGGGAAGATGACTGGATTTCCTTACACCCATGAGTGAAATTTATAGAAGTATACTCTGACTTGATATAAAGGAAGATTTTAAAAAACATGACTGTTCAGGAGTGTTCAAGTAGGGTCAGATGACCAGTGATTGGGAATACTTCGTAAGCAGGAGCAAGTAAGATCTGAGCCACTGTTCTATCAGTAGGGTGTCTGTGGTGTTCCTTGGTCAAAGAAGTACTCTAAGCAACTTCAGTCTCACAAATTACTATCACCCTTGTGGGCATACATGATGGTTACCCTAAAGAGGAAGTTTCAGAAGGCAGTAATATTGGATCCTGGAATAGTCAGACAGGAGCCTTCATGCATACACCCTTTTCAATTCTCCATACACCCATTCACAAGTGGTCGCAAAAACACCCAGTACCTTTACTTGGCTTTACCCACTTAACAATATGCTCAATATGAGCAGTTTGACTCCCAAGCCTAGGTCAGGCCTGAGTGTTTCTCATGAGCCATAGTCTTAGGCTGAGGAGCCTTGAGAGTTGGTGGAGGGAGAGCCCCCCTGCCCGCAGGGGGCTGTGATCACAGAAGTCTGTAGAAAGAGTGGGATCTAAGGAGTCCTGGGGAGGCAGGCCTAAAGGTCCAGGCCTGGCATGATCACTGTCCAGGGAAGGCCCCCAGTTCCTATGGCTCTGTGCATAGGGGCCATTTGTTCTTGACCGACTTCACTCCAAGGATCAGGTGTGGGCCAAAGCTAGGGAGTGGGCAGAAGGCGATGGCTGGTTGGAGAGAAGCCAGGCCGTCTAGTGGGGGAGGATGGTTGGAACATAGCATTGAAGTGGGCTCGGCTTTCAAGCTGCATACGGTGGCCCAGTGGGGAGGCGAGTCCACGGACAAAATGGATTCGAACCAGCCCTGACTGCCCCCCAGATACCAGCCATCCATAGGAGTCCAGGTTTGGGCTGAAACGTACCTGTGAAGAGAACAGAAAGAGAGAGATCCTTATGGGTGGTGCTTTAGGGTGACTCTAGCTATATGAACAAAAAAAAATGAGCCACAATCTGAAAGGACAGGACCATGAGGGGTGAGACAGGTAAGAATGAGAAGCCAGTGAATGAGGTACATCTGTCATGCTCCGGAGGAGGAGGAGGCTGTTATCTGTGTAACCTTTTCATCTCCCATTTCATCAGCCCCAGGCCCAGAACTGGGGGAAAAGAGTGGAGGGTGGAGAGGATGAAAGACTACCTTATGAATAGCCTCCAGCTGCAGCCTGTCCAGGCAGAGTTGAGAATGCCCCTCTCCCTCCTGCATGCGCAGCATTGGTTCTCTACGGAGCAGATCATGGAATGAACCCTGGGGAAGGGAAATGGAAGAGGAGGGAGAAAGTGTGAGGCTCCTTTTTTTATTTTTATTTACTTATTTTTTTTTGAGACAGAGTCTTGCTCTGTCGCCCAGGCTGGAGTACAGTGGCGTGATCTCGGCAGCTCACTACAATCTCCGCTTCCCGGGTTCAAGCGATTCTCCTGCCTCAGCCTCCTGAGTAGCTGGGATTACAGGTGCCCGCCACCATGCCCGGCTAATTTTTTGTATTTTTAGTAGAGACATGGTTTTGCCATGTTGGTCAGGCTGGTCTTGAACTGCCCATCTCAGCCTCCCAAAGTGCTAGGATTACAGGCATGAGCCGCCATGCCTGGCCCTTTTTTTTTTTTTTTTTTTTTTTTTTGAGACGGAGTCTTGCTGTGTTGCCAGGCTGGAGTACAGTGGTGCGATCTCAGCTCACTGCAACCTCCGCCTCCCAGGTTCAAGCGATTCACCTGCCTCAGCCTCCTGAACAGCTGGGACTACAGGCATGCACCACCACACCCAGCTAATTTTTGTATTTTTAGTAGAGACGGGGGTTTCACCATGTTGGCCAGGATGGTCTCAATCTCTTGACCTCGTGATCTGCCCGCCCTGGCCCCCCAAAGTGCTGGGATTACAGGCATGAGCCACCATGCCTGGCCGAGGCTCCTTAGTTTTATATCTTTGTGCTGAACTCAGGATTACGTACTATACAAAGACTAAAGTTTTCTACCTTTTCTAACACCACACCCATTCTCCTGGCCTCAGCTTACCAAATCTGTGTCTTGAAAGAGCAAGTAGTGATGGTTGACAGTTTCAGTGTAAGTTCGAGCCTTGGGAGGGTTGGGGACCCCAGATGAAGCAGAAGAATGGTCGGGACCTTCAGGACTGTCCTGATACGGTATCAGATCTGCTTTA